CTAGAATCTGATGTGGCTGTGTCTTGATCGTACAGCAGACCTCGGTTTTTCAGCGGCTCAGCAATTGCTTCGTGAGGGGAAAATTTGCGGACTCATCATTAGTAGAATGTTGTTGTGTCCTCTACTCCTGCACTTCATGACTCATACTTTCGCTATATTTCCATATCCTACTTATCGGCAGCAGCTTTAAACACTAAATAATAAATTTATATTTTTAATAGTCGAAATTGATAAAAAAAATTTTACTATTTTTTTTGGTAGGAGTGACCGATGGTCACAACAATTATAATGTAATAAATACATAAATTAGACAACTTTTAAGTAGAGAAATAATTGATTCAATTTCGCACAAAAGAAGCATTATTTGTAATACGTACTAAATGTCCACATTTTTTCTTTTAAAAATTTTTCAATCAAGTCTGCCATTTTTGATCTTATGAAGTACTGTTTTTTTTTTTAGTTGCAAAATGATCGAAGGGGATCAATTTTTTTATCACATCCAATTCATCGATAAATTGTTTACATAAGCTTTCCAAGACTTTCACGTCAACCATTGCTCCGTAAAAATTTCCACTGATTTTTAACAAATCTTGCAAGATTGCCTAGCTTTAAACTATCTGGACCTTTTCTCTCTGGAAACGCTTTTTTAAATAATACTAAAGAATTAACAAAGCCATGTGTAATTGTTTAAAAATTATCTCTTAGGTTTTCCTTTTGAATGACCCTCATCAGTAACGTATGATTAAAACCACTACCATTATGAGCAATAACAATAAACTTTTTTCCAAATTTATAAAAAATCACGTAAACCAGCAAGTGCTTTAGGTAATAAAATCGTTTCCACTTCAACGCCATCATAATAAAGTTGTGATCCTCTGTTACTTAATTTTGTTACTAGAGATGCTTCTGTTTCCATATTTTGAGTCGGTGTAACATATCCAGAAAATCGTGCTTCTCCAGTTTTGGCAGCAATTTGAATTATATCACAAGAATCCATATCTAAGTTCGTCGTTTCTAGGTCGTAATATACAACAACGTAATCACTAATTACTGTAGTTGTAAAAATTTCGAAATTGTTGCTTTGAACATTAGTCATTGAAAGATCCTACTCGTAGCTCGGACCTTTGACATCTTTAGTTCTGACTCGACAACTTTGTCTAATACAGTAATTCAGACTCCTTTTACGATTGTAGTCTTTTGTTGATCTTAGTTCTCCCTCCCTTAGTCTTTTTTTATCTGTTAGATCTGAAAACTTGCAGGTATTTTTTGCAGGTTAATGTTGCAAAATATTTTTCACTCGTACTACTGATTCATATCCAAAATTAAAATGCATAATTCTGGTACTGACACGTATATCTCCCTGATTACTACAACTATAGTTTTTATTTTTCGGAAAATAATTAACTATGACGCTGTTCAAGCATTCATTGGGTTTGCTCATAGCTGTTATGCAAAACTTATAAGTATTAGCTGCGTAAACTTCAAAAAGCAGTTTGATATCAGTGTTCAATTGTTGGCTTTTGAAAGTGACAGCATGTAACTTTTTAAAATTTATTTTGGAAATTCGAGAACTAGTACACCAAATACCGCAAGTGATAGGTAAACCAAATAAATGATCTGGGAAAGAAGGTAATGTTGATTTTAATTTCGCCGTATTTTTATTATTTTGATGAATAAAAAAATTTTAAAGTTTTTTATGTGTGTAATGACATTTTTTTCTCAAATTCACTGTGTTTCTTTCGTAACTCATACATTTTCTTGATGAAATTTTTTTTGAGATGATTCCGGTCTGCAAATTTAAGTATTTTTTTTTTATTTCCTTTCCTGATATTGTCGATGGCTACAGCGTCCTTATCTCCAATGACGACTCTGACTTCCATTTTGTCATTTTATAAAGACTTACTGTCATTTAATAACTCAGCGGCTACGTCACCTTCCATCGATTTGGCACTGCCTCTATAATTTTTGTGATAATCGTGATCAGTCGGATCATTGCCATATTCGCACCATGTGCATTTTCTGTTTCGAGTGCGATAATTCAACACTTTGCCCGATAACAAACCAATAACTGCCCCGTACCCATTCAAAGAGTCGTTACATTTGCCGGTGCTTCTTCTACTCCGGCTCATGTCGTAAGATACTATAATATTTATTACGTCAAGGACGTGAGCATCGAATCCGGTGATACTACCTTTTTTTTCTTCTTTAATAGCAGCCATCATCTCCGGATATATTTCCTTTATCACTTCTTCTGGAGTGTAAAAGAAAAAGGAAAGTAGGCTGTTGTAAAAAGTCATGCAATGAATTGAATTTTTTTCTATGTTAGACATGTTACGTTATATACATCTGTATTTGCATAATCATAAATGTAGCAATATATACTGTACAAGACACATGGTATAAAATATTTTATAAGCGACATTTTAAAAAGTCAAATAAAAGTATATACAATAAAGCAAGTGTACAAATGAAACAAGTATACAGTTAAGTATAAAATAAAAGTATACAACATAGTAAGTGTATAAAAAAAAAAATATACTATAAAGCTTACGAAAAATACTAGTTACTATTATTTTTTTATTTACCTCATTAAAAAAAAAAAAAAATTAAAATGGTTATTAAAAAATTCTGTTAACATTGAGCAAAATAAACAAAAATCTTACACAATCTGAAACTCACAATTCCATACAAAGGTCTTTTATATTTTCAATGACCAACCGACGTTCTTTTTGTCTTGCTTTAGCACAACTTCCTTCGGCAACTTTTGTTATTGCAGCTCCAACAAAAGTCAAATATCTTGCGTACAACTTGTGGTCGATTGACGGCATATTTAAACCTGCTAAAAGCCGATTAACCTCTCGCAGCCAATTTTTGCCTCTATGCTACCTATATTATTAAAAATATTAAAATTATCACAATCATTTAATGACAAATATGACTTTTTTATTACCAAGAACCAATATCTCGTTGGTGAAACTTTGATTCACAAATTTCTTTGATTGTCGGGACGAAATCAGCTCTGCTGGGACTTGGTGTTTTTTGACAGATTTGACATTTGTTATAGCACATTATTTTAAGCACTAGATTGTAAAAGTGGATAATACACCATACTTTTTCTCCTCGACAGTATTTTCCAAAAAAAATCGTTCGGTACAACGTAAACAAAACGAACTTCTGGCGAAAATGTCTACATCTTCGATCCAACGTCCTTTGAATGAAACTTTTTCCTCTGGGAGGCAGGGCTTATACTTTTTCTTCTTAGTATCCATTGTCTTAATGTTTTCGGGACGCATACCCTTTTTTCCTCGAATGATTTTGTCTAATTTTTCTTTACGAACAAACTCTCCTCCGTATACACGCAACTGGTTTTTGGACCAATGATCCAGTTCTAATTATTTATTTACATCAAAGAATAAAGATTATGAAAGGTTCGTCTTGTACAATCAGCTGACGAACTATTATATACACAGACGTACTGTTACTCTCATTTCGCGAAATAAGTATATGATTGCCAAGTTTGCACTCCCAATGATTTGCTAACTCATTTACCAGCACGGTAACGCATATACAATTAACGCTAGATGGTGTACCTCTCGAGGAAGAAGTGCCTTAATTTATAACGCAGTGCTGATGAAAAGAAAATAATAATAATAATAAGAAACTAAAATAAAATGTATAAAACAATACATGTATTGAAACTGTCTCATTTGGTTTAAAAATTTTGAATAACCATGGAACTCTTCAAAAAACATAAAATTTTTATAAGATAATTGTATATTTTTTCTAGATAAACATAATTTCTATTTGCTTTTAAAGTTCAAGTCATTAAGAGGTTAAATATTTTTAATATTAGTTACAGTAATACCATCAAACACGTTTATATAAGAAGGACTTGCGATTTCGGGTAAAGTGTTTACGTAGTTATGCTGGCTTGGTCGAATTATTATATCGTCTAATGAGGATGAAGTTAGGTTTTCTTTTTTTTTTTTCTAACTGTCGTTTCCTATTCTAATTTTCATACGTATGATAGAGATTTAGGAAATGTTTTTTGATATCATCTTGTAAAAGATTTTTAATACTTTTAACCAGCATTGTAAAAGACGGCCTTAATGTCGGCTCTTCCTCCGAGCAATCGAGCATAATATTGTAACTAAAAAAAGGTTAGCAATGTAGAGGGACAGTCTCATGGAAATGGACTTTGCACAAAAACATTTATTCACATGTCATCAGTGGCATAAGTAGGCTGAGCCATTCTGTATCCCCTGACTAATTTCTGATACATTACTTCAAACTCTACACCTGCATAAGTTATTTCTGCAAGGGTAAAAAGTTCCCATAGAACTACACCAAATAACCACACATCTGACATTGTTAATAAGATTCCATCCCTAATGGACTCAATGGCCATCCACTTTACAGGCAATTTGCCAACGCATTGCTTCTTATACTTTTCGTCTTTGTACAATGTCTTTGCCAGACCAAAATCGCATATCTTAATAATGTTATTTTCTGCCAATAATATATTTCTCGCTGCTAAGTCACAATGTAGCACCTCAAAATAAAACGAGTAGCAAAGACCTAAAGTTACTTAATATGTTAGAATCCAGTATCATGAATAATTGTGTACAGATAGGTGTTTGCCTTTCTTTGGGAAAGGTACTCCATACCATTTGCTACTTGATAAGCCCATAAAAAAATATCCTCAGTGCAGAGAAAAGCAACATCTTCATTCGCGTAGTCCCCTTTGTAATTAGAACGCCAACCTGGCTGCGAATCATCGTCGTCAAAATCATCACTAAATTCCATTGAGCCAACAAATGTCGGATCCTCTGGGCAGTAAATGCTGGTCTCATTGCTTGGATTACTGCCACTCAAAACCACACTGAAATCATTAAATATCTTGTATTTTGTCCTATTGGCCAAAAAAATTAAACTTATGTGTTATGTCTATGAGATTTACAATTTATAAGGATACAAGAAAATTTTGATTATTTTTTATTTCGTAGAAGTGTTTTTTTTTGTAGATGTACAAACTTTATTCTTTCTGTAGAAACTCTGTAGCCAAATTACTAAGTGCTTTATCGATAAAAATCTGAATGGACGAACAGTAACATTAATTCAAACTTAGACCAAAATCGGTATTTGGACTTAAAATACTTAAATAAGTATTCAAGATAAGTATTAATTAACGCATGTATATCCTTAAAATCCATAATCTTACTAATATTCTGTCTTACAAACTATGCTATCATCAACAGTTTTGTCTCTGTCAAGTAGTACAACTGGAATTGTGATTACAAGTCAAGTCGTACATTTAAAGGAATAACAATCTAAAGATGGAAAAAAGTTTTCTTGAACCCAAAATGTTCGTCGTACTAAAGACAACGTTTTTTAATTTCAACTCCATTGCTACTTGATACTAGTATGCTACTTAATGACATTTTTTTAAATTTAATTATACAATTTATATAAATCGTTGTATTCAAAATTTAATATTAATAGCGATGCCTTAAGACTCATAATTTGAAGACATAAAGTATAATGATAACGCTATGGATGAAAACCTTTTTCAATTCTTTGCTCAATTCTCCTCTACATGCAAACGATACTGATCAAACTCAGGCTTGCCCTCCATAACTTGCTCTGACACGTAATTATATTTATTTAGTTTTTTAACTTTAAGATTTTGGAAGAGATGCAAAGTAATAACACAAAAACTCTTGCATATTTTCATAAAATTCTTCTATCTTTATCAATTATATCCTTAACTTTTCTTCAAAACTATGATAAAAATCTATGCTTCTTGGTTTTTACATTAAAAAAATAAGTTTGAATTAACGTATTGTTACGTACGATACGCTAGGCATATCATACCAACGCCCCCTGGTGACCACTAAGCTACCTTATCAAGAGGGTACCGACGGGAGGGGCGATAGAAAAATACAAGTATTTCCTTTGTACTTGGTCTACTTAACGTATAATTGTTTGAGAATTAGAAAAAGTACAATCAGTAAAATTATTACCTAATTGATGTTTTTCTGATACAAGGGCCGATTTTACCTTTATCTGATATAATTTGATTAATAAAAGTTTGTCGATGATCCAAGAGATAATTTTGCAGATTTCCAAATTTGCAAAGCTCAACAATCACCAAAAGTTCACCTGAAATGTAAAATAATTTTGTCTAATAAATACACTTTCTTTCATATGTGATTAATCATAGTATTACGCGAATGCTTACGTTTGGCTATATTTTTTGTACAAGCTCCCAAAAGACTTGTGATGTTCAAGTGTTGTCCCAGATAAATCATAATTTTAAGTTCCTTTGCCAATGCAGTGATATACATTGGATCTGCATTTTTGCGTACTGTTTTTACAGCTACAGTTGTCTTGGATTTTTTAGCAAATATTTCATAAGCTACGGCCTTATACACGACTCCAAAAGCTCCACTTCCTAATTTTTTATCTTGATGTTAAAGAGGTACATATTAAACGTTAATATTAATTAAGTTAATCGTATATTTCTTTAAACACATTTATAATCTCTTACCTAATTTTATTTTCTCTCTGGGAAACTCCCATCTTATATCGTACGGAAGGAGTTCTGCCCGCTCATCTACTGTAAGTTCTGGATTCATCAAATCAAGTTCTCCTTCCGTAAACGGGGTAAGACTAGATTCTAATAAAAGGTTTTCTTTAAACTGGAAAACATTATTTACTTAAAATGTAATTTATCTATATAATTAAGTTTTTTGATTAGATATGGACGTGTGTTGATAATAATCATATTTTTTTAATTACCTTTCCATGTTGCACTTGTAAGTAAAAGTAAATTGATAGAAAAGTAAGGATTGCGAT